AAGCCTATTGTCTCACATATGTCTATGCTCAGAACTGCTCCTGCTGCTCTTCACGTGCAAGCTGAGTCAGGAATTGCCCCTTCAGTGAACCACAGAAGCATGCAAGTCCTTCAGAAACTTGCAATCACAATGCAGGCGTCATTATACAAACAGCACAAGTGCCATAATCCATCTACTGAGAATCTGCCTTATAATAAGTGACAGCAAATTTGCACTCAAAGTGGCAGGGAAAAAAAAAAAAAAAAAAAAAAGAAGCATGACCAGCAGGTCAAAGGAGGTAATTCTGCCCCCCTTCATGAGACCCCACCTGGAGTACTGTGTCCAGCTCTGCAGCCCTCAGCACTGGAGCAGGACTATTCAATGTCAGGTTGAACAGGGCCCTGAGCAACCTGACGTAGTTGAAGATGTCCCTGCTCATTGCAATGAGGTGGGACTAGATGACCTGCAAAGGTCCCTTCCAACTCAAAACTATTCTATGATTCTAAAAGAAAGCAAGGAAGTGATTGAGATAGCAGTAACAAGCACTTAAGAACTGTAGAGACAGATAATTGAACTGAACAGATATGAAATAGAAATTCTTATCTAGAATTTAAGGTACAGCTGGAGATAAAAATGGAGTTCCAGTGGAAATTTTACAATGCAATGGAAGTATCTGTAGACAGTAGCTGAACAACCAGACCTTTGAAGCTGTGTTACAACTTTCCTTAAGGAAAGAATTACAACAATCGACAAACCAACAAAAGGCCTTTGAGAACAAGTGTTGGAAAAAGTTTGACATTATGGACAAATGGGGAGTAGTTTCAGCGAGGCATCGCAGAGCAGTTAACCACATAACCCAATGTGATGGCTTATACATGAGACTAGGATCTGATGAGAAGTCATTTAACACCTTCTAAAACACAACAGTCTCAATGCAGCACAAGCAGAATCAGTAAAAGATCAGAAACAAACAGATAGAACTTGACAAGCCTGACACCAAACTAGACTCGAAGAACAGTATTCTATTTAACCAAGATCAAGAATAGAAGAAACAAACCAGAGCCTGAAAGGGGTTAAAAGGAAGACTTACTTTCAAGTTAATAACAAACAACAGTGTAAAGCTGCTGCTCAAGAACCTGGGTGATGGCAACCTCAGACTGAGGAAGAATAAGAAAGGCTCAAAAAAACTTAATAGAATTATTTCAATTCTTGAGTACTAAGAGCAACTGAACAAAAAGTCTCCAGAGATTACTTAGGGTTGGAGACTGCAGATGGAGATCTGAGATGCCTGATTACAGGAAGACATGAACAGAAGAAATTGTCTCAATGAACTGATGACCTAATGTGCATCCTTGTCACAGCTCCTGTGACATGTTTAAGAATGAAGAATTAGGCAGGAAGCAATGCAAAAGAGGACTGTGAGAATGCACCTGGAATCTGAGATTATTCCTTAATGAAAAAAATAGAGTAAAAGTTTGGCTTGCTTGAACTACCAAACAATTACAAGAACACTGTTATGCTTTATGAGCACTGAGTGACAGGCCGTACAAAAAGAAAAGCATAAGAAGCAAAACTTAAGGACAGTTTGACCAAAGAACAAACTGTCCAGGACTAATCATAAAAGAAATTAAGTGATTTCTAACCATCAGAAAATTAGTATTTCAGAAGCACTGTAGTAAGAGCAGGAAAAGGAAGCCAAACTACTAAATCAGTTCTATGCAATAGTCTGTATGCCATGACTGACCCCTGCAACAGGCTAAGGGATGCAACTCAAATCTCTACCTCTCTATACAGAAGCAGTGTACACAAAAGCAGGATTTTGTGTGAAGAATTTCTTTTTATGCTTGAGTTTGGTTTTGTTTGTTTGTTTGTTTTTGTGGTCATGTGTGTCCACCCTCACCCCCACCCCCCCGCCAAGAAACCCCAAAACAACAGAACAAGATGAAGGAAAAAAGACAGGTACGTCCTTGTAAGTGAGTAAATCTCACTAGTGGAGGTTTCCCACCTCAGTTGTGGCCAATTTTTACACTTTTTCTAGAGCGTTATGTGAAAAACAGAAAGGTTTTGTGTAACTTTCAGATTTTGATACAGAAGGAAGCCAAACTCTCAAGGCACCAGAAAAGATAATATGCATCCTATCCTACATCGCTTCAAAGTTCAGTTGTCTTCTATCCAGTAAATACAACTGTGGCACAGCTCTCTATGCAGTATTTTACCTTTTTTTGCTTCTGATTCATGCTGGTTTGGCTGACAGGGCATCATAGTTTGAGTTAAAATCTTCACTTCAGTCATTTCAGATAACTAAAATATGGAGGGAAGAATTAAACATGTTTTGATATATTTCACAGTACTAAGTTATGAAATTTGCTTACTTTAAGCATATTAAAACACAAATGTACGTTTCTGGGCTTCTTACTTAAAAATAATAATTGTAGCACAGTTTAATTTGAACCTGTAGAATGTTTGTTAACTCTTGATTACATACAATAAAAGAATAGTTCAACTACCTACAGAACAGTATAGGTAAGCACATTTGAGACAGGAATCTTTTCAACAGAATTTCACAGTGTTGCCGCTAGTTTTTAAAAAGAACACGATTATCTCCTCCTTTTCTCTGATCTCACCCAGAAGACAGCCAGAAGCTGCTACGCTTGGGAGTAATAGAAGCAGAAAGGACTTTCCTCAAGACCAAAAGAGAGATTTGGATTCTCTCACTTAGCAAAAGGTTTCATAAACATGAAGACCTAACAACTACAGTATAACACTGAGTTTCTTCCAGCTGCCAAAACCTTGAAGTGTTTTGGAAAGTAGGAAAGCAGTTTACTCTCAACAGTTTGACTCAGCTCTCAAGTGTCTTCACAGGTTTGGCTGATGAACTGTAATCTCATTCTGAAACAGATTTGGAAGGGACAGGGGAAAATGGTGGGGGAGAGCAGAACTGAAAATTTTGGGAAGCAGTTGCAAAAGCAGAAGAAGTCCTATCATCTAGACAGAGACAGCAGTTAACATCGTATCACCAGCTTTCATGGTTTGCTAAGAGTAGAAATTGTGAATGGCAAAATATTTCTAGTACATTATCCACCCTGCTCACATTTCCATTTTCTGTGGTTTAAAATTAGTTATCTTTTCCTGACTTGTCCAAAACTGGGGAAAAAAATCTCAAAAAATCTAGGGATTTCAGAGAATGAAGTTAACAGAGACCCATACTGCTAATTCAAACTGCTATGTGATGTTCAACTAGTCCTCACAAGTCTTAAGCTATTTAAAGGCTCTTTCCAAGTACAAACAAAGATTTAACATATTCTCAAATCTGCAAGAAAAAGATATGTATGATAAAGCAGAATTTACAACAATGTGCCAGACAATGTCACCACAATATTTTAACTTTCTTCCTGCACCATCTCACATCACATCATCCTGCCAACTGCTTTATAATATCAAGAGTTCCATTATGCTCAGTTTTCAGTCCAAAACTTAACATTTGAGTATCACGACTCTTAACAATACTCTTTCTTACACACATTCCTATCTGAAATCTATCTACAAAGAATGGAATCCATTTATAAAGGATAACCCTAGAGCAGGGCACGTATTTCTGAAGCTCAACACCATTTTTAAATGGTAGTTAAGAAGTAGTAAATTAAAACGGATACTGACTGACGCAGACTTTTCAAGCATTTCTCTCTACCTCAAACAGATCTGAGGTAGCGGACTTAACACTCTCCAGATCTGAAAATTCTTTGCACACCATGAAGTTATAAAATTTATTCTTTGCTTTAAATTATCCAGTTAGGGCACAGTGAGTATTCAAGCACTTTCACTGTTAACACCAGTTTGGCGGAAATTCCCTAGAATCAAAGTTAACATCTAACATACAAGCACTGTCACCATGCTCATTATTAACAGTAGCTCTTTTCCACTTCCTCTAAGGCTTAAGACTAAAAATTTCAGATTCAGTAGTTTTAATTCTATAATTCACTGTTCTTTGTACTGAGTTGAATCTCACACTGACCAGCACTCCTGATGTTCCATAATGGTGATCCTTTTCTTCCTGGCAGAAGTCTAAGCAGTTTTAAGTGTGCATACTAAATATACCAGAGTAAAGCAGTTTGGAGAATTCAGTTGCCAGGCTCTTCTTCAGTTCTTTCACTGCCTTAAGAACCTGGTTTGTCAGAGTTGGCTCTTCTTTTGTTTCTAAAGCCTCATTTGTTTTTTAAATATCTGTAAGTTCGTGGCAAATACAATCTGCTTTACTTTTTAAAATCTTCACCATTCACCATACTTCCCAGAAAGTAACCTGTATTTCCTGTATCCTAACCCATATTAACTTAAGTATTTATTCCCTCTTTAATAGATCATCGCTACATAAGACTATGACTGGTGTAAGAAGTTGTAACAAGCTGGTTTTCCTTTAGCCTTACTAAGTGTTATATCAAAACTTGTTTTTCACCTTAGTGTGTTTAGTATTGTGCTTCATTATCTTTTGTAAAAGGTAATTATATTGGAGGAGGAAGGAAAGGGGATGAGGATAATTAAAGTTTTATGCTTGTAGATACAGAGCACTATTAGTGTTTCTCCAAAAAGGCAGTAAGATTTAAAGCACGTGAAATACAATTACAATTTTGAAGAACAAGTTCTTGAAGTGAAATATATGTATGTTTTTAAATATATATATTATCCTAGGCATGGGGACATTATTTCACCATATCAGAAGCCAAAGAATAAATGGGTAACAACATACAGCTTTCTCAGATCATCACTGATGCTTTTTGAAACATAATATTCAGCAAGATTCATTAAAAGAGTGATAATGCACAAATTTGTTATCATCAGATTCAGGTCCTGATATCTTCAGAACTAGCTACTGAATGCTGTTGCTTAGAAAAATACTGTATGACGCTGCTATGCCAGCCTCCAGGCCAATGCTGGACATCATGTAGAGGTTCATAGGGTACTAATCAGTTGATATTTGGAAGTACCCACGGAACAGCTGACAGTCAAAAGTATAAAAAGCCTTTTCAATATTCTACGCCAAAGCAAAAGTCAAAAAAAAAAAAAAAAAGGGAAATAATAAAACCCAGATCTACTAACACAAAAGAAATGCAGTATGTAGCTAAAGTTAGCCAAATATTGATGAAACGGAGTACTACATTGCTGACTGAGGCCTATTCTAAACAGGAATAGTTTGTTCTTCTAAACACATACTGCTGAAGAGACAAGTATAACTCTTAATCTCCCTATGTGTGATCACCGACAGGCTTACAACACCTTGACTTTTTTTTTTTTAAGTCAAAGGCAGCTTTTAGAAGCTCCTTACAATAAAGGAAGACCTACGGGATTACTACACCTCTTCTAAAATAAAAAATGAAGGAACCAAAACTTGGTCTAACAAAAAAACCCAAACAACAAAAAAATTTAAACTTTCAATACACTCTGAAGACCATTCAAATCAGTATCAACAGAAAAATCAAACTTGGACTACGAAACATTATGCATTTCAGTTAGAACACTACAGACATCATTTTGCAGTTAACCACTGCAACCGATTTCAAATTGGAAGGACACAAAGTACCACGTCTAAACCCAAGTATGTCTCGCAATAAAGCTCTATAGTGGTTCTGGTTTTTTGAATGTTAAAGCCCATTTATTGCCTGGTCCAGCACAGTCAATGGAACAGAAGTACAGAATGCACTGGAACTATTTATCGAGTTTTGTTAAGTTTGCTGCCTCAAATGTATTTGTGCTAACAAAAATAACAACAATTCTAATGTTATTCTTTACACATAATGAATAAAGACTGTATGTGTACTTTTAAGTTTTAAACAGCTTTCTTCAAGTCAATGAAGACTAAAGAAATGATACAGATTTTTGTAAGACTCTATCTGACTAAGCAATTCATCTAATACATTTTTCAGCTACTAGTATATGCAAATATCAGGGAAGGGCATTCATGAAACTCATACTTAGTGCTTCTGACACTGCTAGTTTATAACTAAAAGGGCACTCCTAGCTGGAAATAGCTTACATCTGATAATATAAGGGAATAGCTGACCTCCAATTCATAACAGTCTAGAACAAACCCCGTTAACTTTGTAATCTACTATTTACTCAATACTCACCCAGTCAACCTTACTCTGCAAACATACTTCAGTGTTGCCAAGTAATTCAGTCTGAAAGTTTAACGCAATGGCTGATTCTGGAGAAGAGAAAACATTCAGAAAAAAAAAATCCATATTTACATAGACTCCACATTTTTATTTTGTGATAATTGCCACAAGAACATTGCTGAAATCCAAGCGCAAAGAGATTATATGGGCATATATTCAAAACTTGAAATTTTAAATCACCATAGGACCATTTTTCCATTTCTTCCAAGTTTAAAGAAAGTAAAAATTTATCATGTTCACATCAGCACTGCTGTCACTTTCTCTGGCCACCAAAATACTTCTAACTTAGCAATAATAGTAGCTGTAATACTTCAATATCTAGATAGCATACACAGGTTTAAAAACAAAACCACACCTGACATAAATAACGCATGATTTTTTTCCTAAGGCTTTTGTTTGTTTTAAACTTGTATGAAGGCTAGATAAAAACAGTACAGTGCAGTATACAGTGCTTGCAATAAAAACTAAACAATAATCTATTTGTTACATTATGTGCGTTGTATGTTTTCGAAGCAGGAGTCAACTAACCCAAGGAGTCAACTAACCCAAGAAATCCAGATTTAATAGTGAAGCCTGATCCAGCTTTCTGAAGCTAGAATTTCAAATGCCAAACTAGAACACCACTAGAAAGAGTTCTGCATAAACCTAATCTAGTTTAAATTCAGACTTTATTACAGAGATGATGTAGTAAGCTAAACACACATCAAGGTATTTACAGATTACTGCCGTTTGAACAAAGTCATTACAAAACAAAATCCAAGTCACCTTACATGTCCTTGTTATCTCCTTAAAAGCAATTGCAGCTTTGGCAAAGCGAACCGTATCACAGCCATGCTACTCACCTTGTTTAGAAGACAGATGATGCACAGGTCGTGCTGGCTGAAGAGATTTACCAATAAACTTTTTAGTTTCCTTTAACATTTTCTAGCACGACGCTTTTAAAAAAAACAGCAGAAATCAATACAGAGCATTCAGTTCCACATGGGGATGCTAAGAAAGAAGAGCAGTCTATCTACTACCCATTAACTGCATTTGACAAGAGGATGTACTGTATTTTAGTATCTGGACAGGAAAAACAAGTAAGGCCTAACACAGAAATTTTATCAGATGATAGAATATGCTGGATAGAATTTGCATAAGGACAGAATCAGACATCTCTCTCATTTTTCCTTCCAACTGAGCTACCCTGACTGCTTCTTCGAAAGATTTTATTTCCTATATGCTTGTACACTTGGAGAAAGGAGATGGGGATATGCGATGGAAATGAAGGTATTTTCTAAGAATTTAATTAATTGGTTTAAGTAATTAACACCAGTGTACCTTTTACAGTCTGCTGGCTGTAGGAGTTCCATATATATCTACATAAAACTTGCATAACTGGCTTTTAGTATCTACTTCAGTTAAATTAATACAGTTTTGCAACTTCCCACTCAGTTTAGCTGCTTATAGCAGCATCAAAAACTGCTAAGGTGGTGCTGGGCTTACAGATCTCCCACTATATGTAAACCACTGGTCATAAAATCTTAATTTTTAATACCCATATCTTAATTTTTCTCCTACCCCCCTCCAATCTCCTTTGTCAACTGGGAGATTTCATCACTTGAAGGAACTTCAGCTTCTTTTAGAGAAAAAGAATAGCAGAAACAACAAACACAATAATGATGGTACTGAAATCATGTTTTCTCTAAGAGACTTTACAAGACAAGGGAGTAATTGTTAAAATAAAAGAAGATACAAAGGAAACAATCATGACTTCAAGAGTTAAAACTACAGAGATTATTATCCAGTTCCAGTATGGAACAGGAGAGAAGTTAGGCTATTTAAAAAATGATCCAGTATCACTCCCCACATTAACTAGTCTTTGCATTACGGGGGAGAGGAGGGGTGGGAAATCACCTGAAGATTTATTAAATTACAACCTTTAGAAGCTGAACACTCAACTTTTAGTATATTTCAGTAACAGCTTTCCAACATAGCCAGTTTGAACCTATTCAGGTCTAGAAACCAACTGTTAAATCTTTACTGTCTGAATTACAACAGTTGAGCAAAAGTCAGGAAAAAAGTTCTGGTTTTATTCCCTGAGTGTCCTACCTTGTCACCTCAGAAAGAAAAAATGAGACTGAAAGCTGTAGTCAAAAGAACAATGAAAAGTCCTGCAAGTAAATGAACTGAGAATACTGACATGAAAAATTTATTTCATTTTATCCCGATTACGAATGCTTGTTTAAATCATATTTATACAAGATACTAAATTTCCACACAAAGCAGTGCAGTAATATTTGCATTGGAAGATAAAACAACCCAAGTTTTCCTCCATACCCTGACTGCAAATGATATGCACCCTTTTTATAACAGGAAGAACTGTTTAAGAGGCTGGCTGGCTAGCTTCTACAACATAGCACACTTCCATTTTTAAAGTGTTCTCCTGACTATGACTTATGGAGACAGCAAAATGGTGCACTTTGCCCCTCTGCCCCAACCCCAAATTTCTACCAAGAGGATTTCTAAGAAACCCCATACTCCCAGTGCAAGCAAACCAGAATTGAGTATGAGGGGGAAGTTTGGGCAGGGGTGAAATAAAGAAACAGCTCTATTTCCTCCTTTAAGCACATGGAAGAGGCTAGAAAAGATCGCAACTTGTCTAGACTACCCTTCTTGTTTAATAGTGTTTTGACTAGTATCAAGAAAAGTAGAGAAAGATTAGCTTTAATAGCTGAGAAATTAACTGCTTCCATGAGAGACTACTGCTTCAGGGGCACCTCCTGCACCCCAAGACTTGCCCCTTCCAAAGGTCTTAGTGGTTTTCAGGAGTTTCTCCAACTGCTGATCTGCCCACTGAGAGCAAGCTGCCTGCACCAGCAGACGGGCCTAGCAGGATTTCTTCGTGACCTTTTTGTTTTGAGCATCTTAACAAACTGGACATTCACAGTACACAGCTGATGAGGGCCACCACGAATGCTCTTTGGAACACTTTCCTGAACACATGAATGAGAATTAACACAATTCCTGTGAAAATGCCTTGGGCGCCCAGCAGGGCCACGAGTAACCAAAACCTGACCATCTTCCCTCGCCCAAAGCGGCACAGCGCTGTTCCACCCACAG